GGTAGGGAAGTCCGCCCAATGACCAGCATATGGCTTGGATGACGCCCTCCTCTGCATCATAAGAAGTTGCCTGCGTGGCTCTGAGCAAGTGGAAGCACACGGGAGGAGTTTAGTAAACAGGTTTTGCTCTACTAGACAATTTCTAACTCATACAAAGCACTCATTAGACTAATTTACAGTGACTTATAAACTCTAGACAATTAACATAAAAATGAAAACATAGTCTATGAGTCCAATGCCTTAGATAGGATACAGTTATACTTAAGAATATACTTCGTTCAATTTCGACTCAGAATGCATGTATCACCCAAGAAACACAGATCAAGTTTAGAAAACGGAAATGATTGTGTCAAGTGTTTGAGACACTTTGGAAATCTGTTCTTTGGTAGCTAACATGACAGGAAATTAACACTGGGATTTTAACTGGGCTTCCCTCCAGTAAAATAAAACTTCCTGGAATAGGACCTACTGTCATAACTTCCCCCAAGAGACAAGACGAAGGTCCACCCTATAATGGTGAAGATATAAAAATAGCGATTCCTTGACAGTTTCATGTAAATTCCTTGAAATATTTTAAATACTCCTTTAAAGTCTTTTATTATAGATATATGAATGATGGCTTTCGAAATAAAAATTTATACGAACTTGGACTCTTTTCTTGCCAGAGCTTTATGGAAACAACTTTAAAAGCAAGTTTGGTCCAAGTGATACCAATGTCACAGACTACACTATGTTTGTGTCACATCCAAAATCGCTGCATGTCAATGTGCATTCTCTCTGCATTCATAAGCAATTCACCGTGTTCTCTGTCTGACTTCCCCATAGCACATATCATAGCAGATGTCCATCAACCTTGACCAGACTTCCTTGAAGTCCTCTTCTTAGATTCAGAGTCACTTCTCTCCCTGGTTCTTTCATTGTGCCTTTTCAATCTTGTTGAAGGATTCTTTTTCTTCCACTTGCCCCTTAAATGAAGGTTTCCTGCAACCCAGGCCTCTTCTTCTTTTGTTTTTGAGATGAAGTTTCACTCTTTCACCCAGGCTGTAGTAAAGTGGGGGCAATCTTGGCTCACTGCAACCTCTGCCTCCCGGGTTCAAGCGATTCTCCTGTCTCAGCCTCCCGAATAGCTGAGATTACAGGCAAATGCCAACATGTCCGGCTAATTTTTGTAGTTTTAGTAGCGATGGGGTTTTGTCATGTTGGCCAGGCTGGTCTTGAACTCCTGACCTCAGGTGATCCACTTGCCTCGGTCTCCCAAAGTGCTAGGATTACCAGCGTCAGCCACCACACCTGGCCTCCCTCTTCTTTTGGGTTTACCAGAGAGGACAATGAGAAGGCCTTCAATCAAATGTGATCCATATGTGTGTTTTATTTGTGACTCAAAATATCATAAATGTGAAATGAAAAGTAAAGATATTTCACGCCACCATCTAGAGTTTTACTTAAATCTAAAAAAAATTAGGAGCTATGTCATTATGCCTACTGGCTGCAGCTGTTAACAGCTCCCATCAGATGAGGCGTGTAACCTCCAGGCTGCCACTCTCTGCCCCTATACTGAGGCCAAATTTCAGCTGCCATTTATCATCCTAGAATGGGCAGTGTTCATTCTTTCATTTGGATCCTGTATGCACTGAGTTGGTGAGCCCTAAAAATTAATGCAATAATTCTTCCTAACCTCATTCATTTCCACTACTCACCCTGATGTGGATGACTGCCATGGTGATCACTGCCTCATTTAGTCATTCACTCTACAACCCTTTATTGAGCATCTATTACACATCATGAATTATGCCAGACGCCAGGTTTTCAAAGACAGATGAGATACGGCCCTGCTCTTAATGAGCCAGGCAAGTCCATCCATCTCCACTGAGCTCCAGGCAGCAGGGATCTCTCTCATAGTGGACTTTCAAGGCTAACAGAAACGCAGCTGTTCTGGACTGAAACTTCCTTAAGAAACCCTCTTCTGAGTACTCCAGGTAATAAAAGCAAAGGCCCAACATCTCCCATCTCCTCTCTCATTTTCCCATTAAAATCCCACGGAAACTTGCTAATAAATGTTTTAAGCTCTGTCTGTCTGTCTGCCTATCTATCTAGTTGTGAAGGAACTGCTAAAAACTAAGCACCAACTATCTCCCCTCTCTCTCTCTCTCTCTCTCTAGTTTTGAAGAAACTGCTAAAAACTAAGCAGCAACTGGAAAAAGTATTTATAGCCATGCTCCAACTCCTTGATAAGTCCAAGTGAGATCCTCTGGCCTACACCTCCCCACAGCCCCTAAATTGGGGACAGAAAATATGACCAACCTGGCAAACAGGTGGCATGAGGAAAGAAGACAGAGCTAATATGATCCGTCTGCCTTTGGTCTTTTTGTCTGCATAATGATCATAGAAAGTATTCAACAAATACCAACCAGACACTTTTTCCTATGAACTGAACCACACCGGTCAGTGACTGCCTTGAAGAGACATGCCGATTTGGGGGATGGGACAGGAACAGGAAAAGGAATCCAGCAAAAAGCTTTCAAGAAGATTTCTTCTGTCTCTTTGTGTGGACAACCATAAAATCACGCCAACAGCATAAGTGTGCTTTTGGAACACTTTCTTTGGCCTTCTTCTATTCCTTAAAATGTCATCCAGCCACCAGAGTGATTCCTCTTGATCTGGGCCTGAATGGACCTTTCTGCCCCCACTCCAGGTTCATGAAGTTCTGGGGTTTGCATAGAGAGTATTAACTCCTGTGCCCTAAGCCTGGCACAGCAGCAGCCGGGTGGGCAGACACGACGGGACCATGTGGGCTTGGTCAGTTCTCCCATTAGAAGGAATAAAATACAAATTCCTTAACATAGCATGCAAGGTATGGACAGCATCTGCCTTTCTAGGTAAGTGGGGAGACTTATCTTAAGCATAAATAAGGATAATTTGCTGACAGGGAAACAGGAAAGTGTTGGAGTCGAAATGACATTGATCCACAGTAAATAAGGAAATTCAGATTTCTGAGCGTGCCTCAGAGTTGAGAATACATTAAAAGGAAAAATTAATGAAAAGAAATTTGTACCTAAATTGATTTTTTTTTCAAAAAGGCCTTCCAAGATTAAAAAACAAAAACAAAAAAACAGGATTTTCTTTTAAAGGTGGAAACACAAGAGAAGACAAAATGTGGACAGCTGGAAAACATCACAGCAGTGGGAGGTGCAAGAGCTGACCCAAGAGGCCTGAAGCTGCCGTTGGCACTGGGACAAACAAATGGCCAATCTAATTGCCAATGCAAACTCTGCCCCACCCACCCATGACACCCTGGATGTCATGCTAAGGAATCTGGATTTTATTCCTTATAATGTGGGGACTAAGGCCACTTGGTCTGTCATGTCTTCCCACCCAGGGGAGCCAAAACAGACTCCATGAAAGGCAGTAAGAAAAAAACCATCAGTACCTGAATCCCTTTCCCCACATGGTAACTAAGTGACCACCCTCTCCACCCTGGAGGAGCACTGGAGGTTTCCTCTTTGCAGAGGAAGACGCTGGGATATCTGCCACCAGGATGCCTCACTGAAAACAAGGAGATGACCTGGATTTGTGCACGGAGGTCCCAATTCCACTTCCTGAACACTGGCAGCCCGGCTATCACCTTCTAGGCAGAAGAGGAACAGAATCTTCTCCAGGGAATCTGACCAGCTCAAGAGGAGATGCCACAAAATGCCGACACATCAAGAGTCAAGTTCTTGGACTCCACAGCACAGACAGATCATCCCACATCCAGGGCGCAGTCAGCAGTCTGCTTAGAACAGTATCTGACTCACAGCTGCTGCCTGAGGAATACTCGCTGAAGAAAAACTGGATTATTTATTAAAACAAGCTTGCAGTTTGTTATTCTTTTCAACCCCAAAGAGTCATGGTGCCAAAATGGAGAATCCATATATGAGGAATAAGAAACGAATTCCTTAGAGTGACAGTCAAAGTGATTTACAGTCCAACCTCGCCCTCCCCAGCAAGTGGATTTCCTGTCGGGGACTTTGGAAAGCGGCACACACAGGATGAGGGGAAAGAGCTCAGGGGCACACAGACCTGAGGCCCAGCCCTGGCTCTAGCACTTCCCAGCTGTGTGACTTAGGGCCAGTTATGTAGACATTAAGAAAAGAAGAGTAATGGGTATTTTAAGATACTCATAAGATCTGTAAGCAGTGATCAAATGGATAATGGGATAGTCAGACACAAAAGAGTGCACAGTTCCATTTATTCAACATTCTAAACAGAAAACACTAATCCATGATGATAGGTATCAGATTGGTGGTTGTCTGCGTAGAGGGAATAGACTGATTTAAGAGGGATAACAGGGATTTGAGGGAATTTTATGAGATTACTGGAATGTTTTATATTTTAAGTACAGTGGGTAAAAGACTCAGAGGGTATATAGTTAAAATCTGTGCATTTTATTATGTGTAAATTATACTTCAATTAAAAAAATAGAGATTAAAAAAATAAAATATTTTTAATGATCTGTAATTTAATAGTCAATAAAGAATATGGCTTTATAATTCAATTGAACAACTACTGATTCATAATTACTTCATAATTTTTGCACAGTACTTTTATTAAAATGGATTTTCCCCAATAAAATATCAATTGTTAAAAATATTAAATACACAGAAAAATCACTTCAAATTCCAACCAATACAAGTATTGTTAACATTTGCTTTATTTACTTCCAGACATTTTTCTATGCACAGTTTTTTTTTTTTTTTTTTTGGAGACAGAGTCCCACCCACTCTGTTGCCCAGGCTGGAATGCAGCGCAACAATCTCAGCTCACTGCAAACCTCCGTCTCCCACATTCAAGCAATTCTTGTGCCTCAGCCTCCTAAGTACCTGGGATCACAAGGGTGAGCCACCACGCCCGTCTAATTTTCGTGTGTCTGTGTTTGTTTTTTTTAAGTAGAAATGGGATTTCATCAAGTTGGCCAGGCTGTTCTCAACTCCTGGCCTCAAGTGATCTGCCCACCTTAGCCTCCCAAAGTGCTAGGATTACAGGCATGAGCCACTGAGCCCAGCCCTATGCATAGATTTTTTTAAATTATTCTGCTAGCACAAGTCAAACATGCAGGGGGGAATTAAGATATAAGAAAAAAGGTAAAAAATAAAAACTTAAATTTCTCATTAATTTATAAATTATAGTACCAGATATTGACTAGTAATAAGTATGTTCAGGAATATGTTTACATAAAAGTATTTTTAAGATGTGAGAAAAAAATGAAATAGTGCCTGGATAATGATTTATGTGCAAATATTGACACACGGATGAGAATATCTGCAAGAACTTATGAGGATCCATTAGCAAATGTAGCTTAAATCTATTTTGAGTGGAGGTGGTGTTTTAACTACATGTGTTTATGTATTTTTAACCATATTGTGTATGTAGATATGCATATACATACAGAGAAAATGTTTAATTTGTTTACTAACTGAAAAAGAATGACCAATATAGACATAATGTGTCATACAATGAGGGAATAATACAAACAGAAGGATGCTAAGGGACCATGTTACAGAAGGCCGGTGCTTTACAGCTGAGAAAACTTTCAAGCAAAGAAGTTAAGAAGCCTGTGTAAGGTCACACCACTGAAGAATAGTATGACTGAGCCTGGCCGGGTCCCCGGCCAGCTTTCTTTCCATACACCACACTGCAGTCATATCGTGCAAAGTAATCAGACGTTGTTGGCATTAGGGATAAGAGCTACAAACTTATGAAGGCAACATTCAACATTAATGCATATAATTAAATAATATACATTTTACTTTTAAATTAAGCTAACAGATAAACAAAGGGACTCTTTACAGCCTAGCAGTTTTCTTTTTTTTTTTTTTTTTTTTGAGACAAAGTCTCACTCTTGTCTCCCCAGGCTGGAGTGCAATGGCCCGATCTCGGCTCACTGAAACCTCCACCTCCCAGGTTCAAGCGATTCTCCTGCCTCAACCTCCCAAGTAGCTGGGATTACAGGTGCGTACCACCATGCCCAGCTAATTTTTTGTAATTTTAAGTAGAGACGGGGGTTTCGCCATGTTGGCCAGGCTGGTCTCGAACTCCTGACCTCAGGTGATCCGCCCGCCTCGCCTCCCAAAGTGCTGGGATTACAGGGATAAGCCACCGCACCTGGCCAACGGTTTTCTTTTGTTTCAATGTAATAAAAGAAACTAACCACACTTAATACAATCACACTAATAAAAATTAAAGGGCAAGCTTTTTAATTTTATTAGCTTCGATAGTTCTGATATAAGTTGATATATTTTATGAATTTAAACCATAAGGCTAAATGCATTTTTTCTCACTTCACATGACCCTCAGCATCTCCTGGTAAAACGATTTTGAGAAAATATCCACCACTGGTCTTTCGATGAATACACTGAACTTTCTCTGCATTATCTGCATACTTTTTACTTGAATTAAAAACATTTAAATTATTTTTTATATAAAATGGTTTCACAACAACTAAGTTTATGAGAATGAAGAAAAGCACCCATTATTTCATCCTAATTAAGGATCACAGTAATGAAGTATCACTTAGTAGGAGTTCTCGACCACATAAGGGGCTAGAAATTCTACCAGAAGAAGAACGCATAGGCTGTAATGAGTTGGTTTAAACTTCAACTCCTAAATTACAGTGAACTCAAGGGAAGCAGAAGTATAACGCTCTTGAAACACTCCTCTCCCCATCCCAAAAAGGACAAGAACTCTGGTCCCAATTCCTCCAACAAAATCTCCCACACCAAAAATATCACAGACAGGGAACATTAATAGTTAAAAACAAAAATAATTAATAAGCTTTCAGAAGTTATAATTCCATGAGAATTCACTGCAATGTCTAATGTTCCTAGAATTTAAGCCTTTCTCATCCTTAATTTAAACAGATTTCTAGTTTTGCCAGGTAAATATGGAGAACCTAATGTATCAGGAAATAACTATATACACACTCATAGCTGAAGAACTCCACTAAAATAAGATGGATCACCCTACAAAAAGGCATTTCAGTCACATCCACATGTAAGAAGGTTATGAAGGGGCAACCATTTACCAACAGATGAAGCAGCTACGTTATCTGGGGTATACACTCTGGGGTTCGTCATCATGTGCCAGAAAAATTTAGGACACGGACACATGAGGCGTTTAGGAGCAGAGGTTTACTAGGCAGAAGAGATGAGAAAGAGAAGCAGCTCTCTCTATCCACAGAGGGGTCTCCAAGCAGAAAGGACCAGCAGGTGGCAGATGTGCTCGATGTTATAGTCACGTTTGAGGAGGTAGTGTCTGATTTACATAGGGCTAACAGATTGGTTCGATCAGGCATGACACTTACAAAGCCCACCCTAATCTTATTATGCAAATGAGCTCTCCCATTGACTGGCGCTGTCTTGTCTGCTTCTTACTGTACATGTGTCTGATAAGGAGAAGGGAAGATGGAGCCACCATTTTGAACATGGTTGGCACAACTGCCAGCGTCTATGTCTGCATCTACGTCCAGCTTGATTTCACAGATTTTTTTGTTAGAAAGGAAAATGATTTGGGGCTGCTTTTCATTAAATGGAAAACCTTACCAAGGACTTCCATACCCTCGCTATCTACCTAAGTAATTTCTTAACTCCTGTATCACAAACAACTGAGGAAAGCCTCCAATGTGAAAGGCAGAGACCAAGAGAAATAAAAAAGGAAGCAGGAACATGCAAAGCCAAGCCACAGTGCAACACCACCTCACACCTGTTGAGTGGGACTACCAAAAAAAAAAAAAGACAACTGCTAGTGAGGATGTGGAGAAATCTGAACGCTACACATTGTTTCTAGGAATGCAAAACTATACAACCATTATGGAAGACGGTATGGAGTTTTCTCAAAAACTTAAAAATACAATTATTACATGATCCAGCCATCTCACTTCCAGATATGTACCCAAGGAACTGAAATTGAGAGGTCAAAGAGACATCTGTACTCCCATGTTCACTGCAGCATTATCCACAATAGCCAAGACACGGAAGCACCTAAATTCCCAGTGACAGATGAATGGATAAAGAAAATGTAGTATATACATATAATGGAATATTAACTTAAAGAAAAAAAAGAGGGAAATCCTGCAATATGTGACAAGATGGTTGAGACTCATGCTAAGGGAGATAAATAACCTAGTCAAAGAGAACAAATCTTGCATGATTTCACTTCGATGAGCTTCCTACAATAGTTAAACTCATAGAAGCAGAGAATAGAACAATGTGGGGCAGGGAGGGTAAATGAAGGGATTTGCTAATCAAAACGTAAAAAGTTCAAATAAAGCAAGATGAGGAAGTTCCAGAGATCTGCTGTACAGCATTGTGAATACATTCACAATACTGTATTGTACACCTAAAAAAATCTGCTAAAAGCGTAGATCTCATGTTAAGTGTTTTTACAATAAAATACATTTTTTAAAATAAATGGAAGCAAGATGAAACAGACAACGAAGAAAGCAAAAAGAAAAAAATTGAGTATGTTCACATAACTAAGAAAAAATTATTGTGAAACAAGGAAGGGGGGGTGGGGGGGAGCAGCCAAAGAGATGGATGAAAGAAAAACAGATGAAAACAGGAAGATCAATCCAGCAAATTCAACAGGAAACTAGCGAGAGTTCTGAAAAGAGATTAAAAGACAAAAAGAGAAGAAAGTGATCAAAGAAGTAATAGCAAAAAAATTTCCCAGAACACGAATTTCCACATTTTAAGGATAAACAGAGTACCCAGTACCGCCATTTTTCATTATAGACTGATAGGGATAACTGATTTCATATTGTAAATACAGTCGGTTGACCAAAATAAAAATATTTACATTTAAAACACTGCCTATAACATAAGCCCTTACTGCCTGGAGAATACATAGGATTTATTTTGGTGGCATCATCAGAATAATAAAATCCATGTATTCTGAAGTCAAATGGAAGTCCTCCCTTGGTCTTTCCAAGTCTGAGGAATCAGCTTCCTCTCGTCTTTATCAATGGGTCCTTTTACCCAACTTTTCAATTCACTTAGTAGAGCTTACATCCTTCAGCCTTGTCAGTACTGTTCATTCAGCATTGCCACTTGCTGGAAATAGGATTCTAATCAGAGTATTATCAGCAGTGACATGAATCTTCAGACAGTGATAACAGAGATGTCTCCGTTACACACCACGTGCATTCAGGGTTTGCACTGTACCTAACTCTACCTGAGTCACATTGTTTAGGTTGGCTGTAGTGCTGGAATCATTTTCTTTCTAATACATGCAGAATTTGATAGAATAATTGGACTATTTTGATTTTTCTAATCATTGGTACTTATTCTCTCCCCTTCAGTTGTTCATGTTTATACAGTCTCCCCCTCTCCACTGCCACATTTTTTGCTATTTTTTCTGAGTGCTGATACTGGCCAAATGCATGGTGAGAATGAGTCCAGAGGCAGGGAGCAGAACAAGGAGGGAAAGAGGGCTAAAGACGACAAGGGCCTGAAACAGGGCCAAGTGACAAGAACACAGAGGAGGTAAGATGCTAGAGGTTGCACAGGCTGTAAACTAGACAAGGCTTTAGTCACCCTTTGAATGCAGACTGCAGAGTCTAGGTTGACTCTAGTTTCCAACATAGGTAAGGAAGTGAGAGGCAAGAATCCCACTAAGAAAGAACAGAGCCTTTTTTATTTATCAAGACTACTAACTATGTTCCTAACAATGACCTGGCGTTAACATGACAGTTATAGTAGAAAAACACTAGACTCGGATACAGAAGACTTGGGTCTTAAAACCAGGGTTCTATCACTATTTAGTGTGTGTGAGCTTGAGTGATTCCCATGATACTCTTAGGGCTCAATTGACTCAACCATGAAGAGAAGGCAAAGTTACCAGGTGAGACCTAGCACACCATGAGTCAGTGACCTCCCATTAAGCAGCCTTTCAGAGCAAAGCGCCAAAGCCAGAGCCGATGTGGGAAGACGTGAATGCCTGACACAACTAACAAAAAAGAACAACACTAAAGAATACACGTTCTTCCTTACACCCTCACTCCAACCCTCCCTGGATCCTGGCTTACCAGAAACAATTTCTAACAACTTTGGGTTCACAAGCCATGGGGAATAAAAAGCAAAATCATTAAGGGAGAAAGAAGAGGTACTGGAGGTGGAAAAAACAGTAGTCCTGAGCCAGAAAACAGATCAAATTGCATTGAGTATCCTCTGATTAAAAAGATACAGAAAAGTAAGAAGGTAGAAAGTATGTTCTATAAAAATTTCCATCAAAAATAGTTAAATTTATAGGATTTCAGTCCTTGAAGGTTTAAGATTCAGTTATCTGGAAAACTAATTTATGATCAGTTACCTGGAAAATTCCACCTTATTCTGGAAAATGACCAGATAAATGGGGTGTTACTGAATCTGCCACTTTAGTACAAATAAAAGAATCAAGTTTAAAACAAAACTCTACTTAATTTCTAGACAGCTTATTTTTACCTGAACCACAAAATATTCCTTATGAACTCCTTGTATATTTAAAATATGACTCTGTAACACTTTACATTGTTCAGATACGCATCATAAATAGTAAACCAAAATCATTCATTTTCTAAGAATAAATTCTCCCATGTATCACTTTACTGTCATTGCCTAGGTGAGGCGACAAAAATAGATAATGGAATCAATAACCTACACTAATGTGGGAGAAAATAGTATGGCTGATAGCAAGTAATGAATATGTTATATCATTTATTTTTGACC